GGAAAATATAAATGAATCCAGACCATATCGTGGCATTAAGTGATATCCTCCTATTTGAATATAGCTCTATTTGATGAAAACAGACTTTATGAACTGTCTTCTCAGCTGAAAAACTGTTCTGAGATTATAGCATATTTTCTTTTACGGGTATTAGGTTTCTATACGAGCATCCAGAATATCAAAAGTATTTCTAAATTATGTTGTCAATATCGAAGCCTGTTAATCATAGTTTGCAATATTTCTGTTAAGTTTTAGGAAATGTCCTTTTGCCACAGTTCTTAATTGGATTAGATTAAGTATGCCCCTACCCCCGTTTTTTTAAATCCCCCTGAATTTCCCTTGTAGGATGCAGCTGTTTCATTCACTGTTATCTTCATTCATGGTTATCTTGAGTGGTTATCACAGAGAGTGATAACTGCTTTTGATGTTTTGAAATTGCCAGTAAGTCATTGGAAACATTACTAAGTTCTCTGCAACAAAATCAGGACTTGTTGCCTGCTACAACTTAAGACTATGGAAGCCTGTGTACCCTTTGCCTTAACTTTTGTCTTTTGGAATTGAGAGCTTGAATACTCTCCTTACTTACCTTTACATTATGAATGAAAAGTGTTTTTACCCCCCTCCCAGGCAGATGCAGTTAAAATGTACACTGTCGCCAGACCATTTCTGTAAAATTAATAATTGTTTTGTCATAGTATAAATTTGAAAAGTGGAGTGACAGAGCAAGAAGAGAGAGAGAGAGACCTCTGTCTGCTGGTTTGCTCCCTAAATGTCCTCAGCAACCAGCCGGATTGGTGTCAACCCAAAATGAGGAGCCAGGAACTCCATCCAGTTCTCCCACATGGGTAGCAAGTAACCCAGGTACTTAGGCATCATATGTTTTACCTTAGGCACATTAACACGTAGCTGGATCAGAAGTGGAAGCAAGACTGAATCCCTGGCACTTTGATATAGGATGTGTGTGTCCCTGGCGGCAGCCCAACCCACTGTACCACCAGGCCCACCCCTGTCAAAGTATAAAAACAGAAGAATACAAAAATGCATGTGAAGGACCCCTTTTCAGTAGATGAGTTCTAGACAGGGAGAGTCAGAGACCTGAAAAGAAATGAAATCAGTAAAATTATTTGAATTGACAGTTGAAGTACTCACTGGTCTTTTCCTGATTTTCCCCAACACTTAAGATGGTCCTAATCTTTATAACACTTAAAATCTCCGTTTGAGGTCATATGGCCTATAAATGAAAATATTTCCAAGCTGTCCTGGTGAAACTTATAATAGCATATTCACTTCAGCTGCATTATTTTGAGTAGATATTTCCTTGAATAAAATCATATTTTTAAGTTGAGATGAAATAAAACTACAGTGTTACCTCTGTACTAACCATTATGTACCAAGTTCTGTGTTTAGTGCTTGGAATATATATTAACTTTTTAAGGCCTACCATTTAAGTTAGGAGTGTTACTTCCACTTCAGAAAACTAAGGCTTCAGCAAACTTCCTGGTAGACTAAAACAAGAAAGCACAAGATGTCAAGACAATATTGTTTGCGCCAGCCGTGGCGGCCATTGGAGGGTGAACCAACAGCAAAAAGGAAGACCTTTCTCTGTCTCTCTCTCTCACTATCCATTCTGCCTGTCAAAAAAAAAAAAAAAAAAAAAAGACAATATTGTTTAAGACTATTTTTTAGAAACAGGATTGTAATTCTTATTCTGGCTCTGAGCTTTGTTTTATGTTAAGATAACCAGTTAGAAAAATATTTTGAACAATGCTAGACAGATAGCGGAACTAGATTGTAGATGATGACTGTGGTTCTTTCTTAATTCATCTTTCTTTGGAAAGGAATAACAAGTTTTTGGTGATCTTAGATATTCTGAGATTTTTAAGGTATATAATAACATGACATAATCAAAGTTATTCCATTTTATGTTGCTAGTAGGTTTGTTTTGTAACAAGTGTGTCTCTAAAAATTAGTGTGAACTGCTTTTAATAAATTAAATACTATTTTCCC